TTACAATTGTATAATTATTTTGTTGTGTTAATTTTCTAATTATTTTGCTGAAAAATATTATACAGACTAATAAATTTTATAACATTGTCTTACTAATTAATATGTCATGAACTAATAAAAATTTAAAATTTAAAATATAATTCACTTTAATAATAAGATAAGTGTCACATTATTGAATAAAGAGAATAATAAAAATTATTAAAGCATTGCATTGATTTTTAATTAAATAAGGGGAAAGAATTATTTGGGATGGTTGATTGGTTTGATGTTTGATGTTTTTTTATCAATATTTAGTATTTAGAATGTCAGATTTGTTGGATATTTTGTGTTGTTTAAGGATATTTAATATTTAGCATGATAAATGCATGATGGTTCTTGAAAAAATTTATATTTTTGTCCATACTTATTTTTAAAAAATATCCTTTGTGTTCGCCTCGATTTGATGAAGCCCTCGCCTCGCGCTTAGGCATTAGGAGACCTTGTCGCCTCAGTTCGCTTTTCGCCTTAAAAAACACTGGGATATGGGTACAAGAACGGGTCATATTGTGATGACCCCAACATGCATATCATGATTACATTTATTTAATTATGTGTTAAATTTTAATTGTGATATGTGCCATGTAATTAGCTTGTGCATGTGTCTGATTTAAAAACTATCGGTTATGATTTCTATTCAGAGTTCAAAATTGATGGCTTAAATGATTTCAAAAATCGATATTGGCTACATGAATAGACTAATTAGAATTGTTAGAACCAATTGGTAAGTTTGATTAAAAATTGATTTAGTTTGATTAATTAAGTTGTGTTTAATTAGTCTAATGTTCTAATTGATGTATTAAGCCATCCTAGCAATATAAGTGTGACATAAGCTCATCCTTGAGCTCATTTCTTCTACTTTGGGTGCAAAAATTTGAGAATTCACCTTAGAGAGAGAGAGAGAGAGAGAGAGAGAACTTGTTGATCTTAGCTAGATTGGTCAAGATAGTGCAAGAATTAGTGTGTTTGAAGACTCTAGGTAAGAATCTAACCCTCAATTCTTGAAGATGAGTTAAGTTCATGGTGTATATATGATTTTTTGCATGTATTTTGTTAAAGATGTCAAAAAAAAAAAATGTTTTATCTTTACATGCATGCATGAATAGGTTGAGTTTATGAGTTAATTTGGACATGCATGCATACTTCTTTATCCTTGAGTTTGATTTTCTACAAATTCCTACATGTATGGAGCTTTTGAGCTCAACTTTGTAAAATTCATGAGTTTTGATGCATGAAAGTTTTGAACTCAATTTTTGAGCAAAGGGTTTGCAAATGATCACATATTTATGTTTATTGAAGAGTTTTTAAGCTTAAAGAACAAGCCATGCATGAGTTTTGCTTTTGAAATGGTGTTTGGAAGCTCAAACTTTGAGTTTGAAAACCCAGAATTTTGCCAAACCACTCGACAGACCAAGTGGTGGCTCGAGTGAACTTGACGAGCTCCCAGCATTTTTGCAGTCTTTGCAAACTGCTCGAGCGACCAAAGGTTTGCTTGAGCAAACTGACTATACATTTTGCCTCAGCTCGAGCGACACATAGTTGGCTCGAGCGCACATCCAGACCCATCCAGTACTTTTGCAAATCTCTGTGACCGCTCGAGCAACCAATAGTGGGCTCAAGCGAAGGCTTCTGTTTCAACATGTTTTGAAAAAATGTTTTAAGTTCGAATTTTCATTCACATGTCTTTCTGAGCATATGAATTATGAATCATTGAGGACTAAGAAGTAAGAGATCAACATAAGTAATTGAATTAGAAGAGATAAGAAAGAGTTATTCGATTCAAATAAATGTTACAATGTGTATGGTTATGCGTAATGTGCAGGTTAAACGTTGAAGTGGACCATCGAATTAATCAAGGTGAGCAACGTCTTTGTAATGGTATTTTTGTATGAACTACTTTGGAATTAGTTTTGCTTTACGATGAAACATGAAACACCTATACTTTGTTCAAGTTATGAGATATGACAAGATTTTCAAATAAGTACTTTGAGATGTTAAGTTATGCTTTGAAACTCCGAATTGTATACAATGTGATAAGATTTCTAAAAATGAGATTTGTTAAAGAATGAATGAGTTTCCTTTTGAACGACGATTATGAAAATGTGTTTTGAACATCCGGTAACTACTATTTTGTCTGTGATCCGCAAGTAACATTTTGTATAAGTTATTGAACCGTTGTAAACGTTCTATATGATGTCCATCTTGGATGATTGTTTTGTAGGACCCCAATAGCAATCGTTCTGTATGGTATCTACACATAAAAGACGTTCTGAATGAGCTCATCAAGTATAAGTCATCAAAGTGATGTTTTGTACAAGCCATCAAGTGTGATGTTTTGCATTCTATATAAATCATCAGATATGATGTTCTGCATTCTGTATAAGTCATCAATCTGCATTCCATATAAGGCATCTTTGTGATGTTCCGCAAAAGTCATCATGAGTGATGTTCTGTATGAGACACTAATACAGGTGTTCCGAACAAGTCATTCTATATGAATGTTCTACATGGTATTTCGATAAGTAAAGTAAGGCCTTCAGGCACTTCGCAATGTGTTAAGCTATGAAAGATTTGATAATTGTATTTGTTACTATGTGTTTTCGAAACAAGTTTTAATTATACTGTTTGATTAGTAATGAGACTCATTCATTTAACTCTGTACATAGAGATTACTCATTGAGCTTCCAGCTCACTCCGTTTATATATACGTATGTTGGTGAGCATTCGGAAGTCCCGCATTAGCAGTTTCTTTGGAGTCAATCCTTTCTGTAAAGCCACTCGAGTTACGCCTCTGCGTCAAGGCCTTAGTTTTTAGTTTTTATTTTGGCCAAGCTCGAGAAGCTTTGGTTTTGTACAATTTGTTATGTTATAAGTTTTTGATCTTGGGTTATGTATCTATAAGATGATTGTTTGTAAATATTGTAAGTTTGATATGAGATATGTTTTATTTGTTTCCGTTCTTGGCATGTATGCATAGCTCAACAGATGAATTTTATACTCTGCTTCCATTTTTGGCCCCGTTAATACTTAAATGTTTTTGTTAATTTTGTCTTTGAGGCCAGGTAATCTGGGATTACTGGCTGATTACGGTCCAAACCTCTATGGGAGGGTTTGGGTCGTAACACATATACACATATATATTGCATATTATATAATGTCGTAGTGTTGTAAATTATATCGAAATATACTTGAAATTGAATAGGATTCAAGAAAAATAGGAAATTTCTACATCTAATTCATGAGAGAGGCTAAAAATATTGCTTTACTAGCAAATGTGGGTTTTCTTCTTCTCATATATTGTAACAAATTTAAAGGATCCAAGTGTCTAAATTGGGTACGAATGTCAGACACATTCCATACCCTTACCCAAGTCATATCTAGTGGACAAAAGTATTGTGGGGGGAAATAGAAGAGTCCATGTACAACAACTGTCAATTTCTTTCTCTTTTGGGTTTGATGGATGTATTTCAATCTGCAGTATATTTGTGTGATAATTGCAAGAATGCTAAAGTGACCTTCCATTTAAGTCTTGATGACTTAGTAATTTAGAAAGGTATATGAATATTAATTTCAAGTTAGGTGGTATGGAGACTTTAGTAGCAGTCATGTGGGATTCCGATGCTCTAGGAGAAGGTATAGCACGTCTTGGAGCTGTTCATAATTCAAAGATAAATTTTAATGCTCATTGACAAACATCTGATGCCATGCAAACCCACCAAGAGCCTCACAAGTCAAGCATGCAGTGGAAACATTTGAACAAGTAAATGACGTAGATATGAAGAAAAAAGTAATAGTTCAGGTGTATTAGTTGTGGTATGCACAGTGTAATTAAAATTTTTGTTTTTTTCCAAGAAAACATTTTTTGGCTGAATCTTACCACGAGTGTGCGTATATGTATGCATATATGTGTATATTTTTATCTATTCTAATATATAAAGTCAAGGTTGTTGGTGGTGTTGACACATTTGTGTCTTATATTTTTTATTTTCCCCAAATACCCCTAAAGTTGATGTTTATGTAAAAAAGAAGACGACAAGATTTTGAAACCAAGATCATGGTTTTGGCAAAGCAAGCTCTTACCACATGAGCAACACATACTATATGTGCATTTTTCTTTATCATTATTCTTATATTATTACATTTTTTTGAATTGAACACACATTGCGTGTGCAGCATGCTAGTATACATATATACAAACACCTGCACATGTTTATATATGTTTCTTTTCTTCTATTCTACAAATATAATGAATGCTTATGAAGTTGTTCCATGACTCTGCTTCCTCATTTCTCTGATTAATATATAGGTGAAGCATACAGAAAGTTATCAATTTTATTGTTCTAGATTATATCTATTTTATTTTTTGCAATGCAAAGAAATTCCCATATTCTCCTTTAGATGGTTAACTTCTTATCATTGTTCTTTGCTTCTCTATCCCTCTCCAAGTCTCTCTCCCACATACTTGTAGACAAACAGCTTGCACTAGTAGATCCAGACGAAACAAATTTTGTGTCTAAGCTTAACTAGTCCAATTCTCAAGGCTCCCAAATAGGCCTTACCTATTACAGTTGTCAGCATGAAGTGTATTTTTTATCATTTGAGTCCATTTCAGTTCAAGCAAATGATTTAAAAATTTCATCCTCAAGTCTCAATATCTATTCATCAAAAGTGCATTAGTTTACATTTCCCATCCATTACTATACCAAGTGTCACGGACTATAAAAAAATAAATAAATCTATGGTTGACAGTTACTAATATATAAGACCAATAAGTTGTATCATAACAACACACAAGATGATCATGAGACCAATCACAAAACCAAAACAAAACAAACAAACAAACAAACAAAAACCAACAAATATTCAGAAGCAAATTAACAATGAAGGTGAAACTAAAATTCTAGATTACAAATATGCAATTTGTAGGGAGGTAAATCAAAAGATTGCAAAAAAAAAAAACCTACATTAGGAGGGCCAATGATAGTCCCAGTCCATGACTGCATGTATATATCGTCAGCATCATCCATTCCATAGCTAACTGTTCCATCCCCAATACCTTTTTCTCCTCTCTCAAGTTCTTCTAGCAATCTAAAATTCCTAGGAACTGAAAATCAATACATATTGCAGTTAAATCTAAAATTCATGTTACAAACAAATTTCTGAAATGTGTAATAACAATAGCAGAAGTTCCAGCAAATAGCTGCATTTGCTGATGAAGATTAACATAGTATATTCATAGATCTTTGGTATCTACAACTTTGACATAGAAACTATGTGTACAGGCTAATTTGCAGACAATCCATCTCAATGATGCAGCAGTTTTTGAAAGAAAAATCATGTGTATAAGGTCCATTGTTGAAATATAATACAAAACTAGAGAAATAATGGGACGTCTAACGCAAGTAAAAGCAAGCGAATAACATATTGATCCACCAATGTCCACGTTTGCTATTTTGCTAAACTAGAGGAATACCAGGACATGCATTTGATATAATTCAAGAATTTTTCCAAAAAACAACAGCAAAGAAAGACGGAAAAAAAAAAAAAAGGAAATTCATTAAAGTCAACATATTTCGTCTTTTATGTATTAAGTTGGAATCTGAGAACATCATGGGGATGGGGACGTGAGGATATAATTTCCTACTTAATTGGGAAAGTGATTCCAGTTTGGCTAGGTAATCGAGAATCATTTTCTTGTTTCAATCTGTTCCAGATAGAAGAATCATGGAGACACGGAATCACATTTTCATTCCCCTCAAGTTTCCTTCCATCCAAACTGAGAGCCTTATTGTTTCACATTTCCATAATTTTATTTTTTGTTGAATTCATTACTTTCACAATAGACTATTATGAATATGCCCTAAAATATAATAGCCCTAAAAATTCATCAAATACATAATCTTCACTCATAGTGTCTCCTATTATTTCACACCCTACAAAATCCACAATCTTCAAATTAAACAGGGCAAGCATAACGCTGATAATTTGAAATTCAAGGAACAAACTGTCAGAAATATCAACCCAATTCACAAAACATCAATCTGATCACATCCCACCTAAGAAACCCTAATTCTTCAAAACCTAAATATATACATGAGGGGGAAAAAACAAACAAAACAAAAGCAAAAATTACAGAAGCAAAGCAACATGAAAGCCTCAAAAACACAAATGCAACAAAATTAAACACAAATTACAGGTTAAATACGGAAACAAATCATAATAAAGAAGGATAGAGCGAGAAAGTTAGGGTTTTGAAACTTACCAATAACCCTTGATCCCTCTGAGCCCATTTCTTGCTGCATTTGAATTTTTGAGAGAGAGAGAGAGAGAGAGAGGGTTGGGGAGAAGAAGAAATGGTCCCTGATAAAGACTACATATACTAACTACACACTTCACAACTTCAAATGCCTCCATTACTGCCATTTTCGAGAATTTCTTGAACGAACGGCGTTAGTTTGGATAAAAAGATTCCGTGCTTGAGGGTCTATGCTTATTCCTCTGCGCGTCTAGTTTAATCAATCACCATATTCTGATTTTATGCATGGGTTATGTTTGGTTTATGAAATTGAGGAGAAATTTAGATTGTTTGGGATGTTCTAAATAAGTGTATTTTTTGAATTTTTATAAAAATATGTGTAGAAAAGTAGAGAAAATATATTGATTGATGTGACCCAAAAAAGATAAAAAGTGTAGACTTATTTAGTCTACCCAAACTTGGCCTTAGAAAGAAAAATGAAAAAATGTGTAAAAATAGATTAAAATATGGGCAAATTACATATACCTCCCTCGAGATTTAGCTAAATTACAGATATCACCTGAGATTTCGGAAATTACGGATACCCCCTAGGTTTATATTTTCATAATAAATTGCCCCCTGAGATTTATATTTTCATAACAATTTGCTCCTTAATTTGTTATGCAAATAGTACCTTCAGGGGGATATCTGTAATTTTACTAAACCTCGAGGGGTACATGTAATTTGCCCATTAAATATATATATATTTTATTCATATTTTTTTTTTTCGCCTTTTTCTTTTTAATTCCCTTCCCAAATCTATGAACCAAATACAGTCTTAGAAGTTTGGAGTTTGCTTATTTTTTAGTTTATTGATTTTTTACTAAAAGATGTATAAAAACGTAGATAAGTAATGTGATAATTTATAATAAATAAATAAATAAGTTGCTTGTTTGGAACATACTATTTTAGTTAGTTAAAAGATTAAAAAATTATTGGAGTTGTTTGGGGTGTCCTAAATAAGTGTACTTTTTGTCTTTTTGAACTAAAAAGTTAAGGAAAAAAAGATGGATGTTTGAGTTAATTTTTTGATTTTTTTACGAAAAAATGTGTAATAAAAAATTATATAAATAAGTGTATAGGAGAAATAAGTGTAATAGGCTGTACCGCACCTTTTTCTGGACAGAGTGTAGGAGATAAGGACATGATTACCTCCTTCACAGGTAACCATTTTGACTGTATTATTCGCCCTGTGGGGCCCACCACGAATCCCATTTTGATAATCTGAACTGTTCAATATGTAGAACTCGTCGAGTACTATATAGTTATAAAACATTACATTGATCAGATATTGAAATCACATTGATCGGATTAGTTTTTGTTCACTAGTTAATTATAACACCCTCCCTTTTTTTTTATACAAAACTGATTTGATCATATATAGTTAGTGATATCCGATCAACGTGATTTTTTATAAGTATATAGTAATCAACGAGTTCTACATATTGAACAGTTCAGATTATCAAAATGTGACCCATGGTGGCCCCTACGGGCCGAACAACACAGTCTAAATGGTTGTCCGCGAAGAAGGCAATCATTTCTAAGCTAGTATAGCAGACCAATCACGCGGATAGCCCATCAAGCAAAAAGTTGAGTTGTATTTTTTTGTGTAAATTTATTTTTTTTTATTTTTTTTTTGTTGTGAATAGTGATAACTTTGTAGTTTTTAAGTAACTTTTTGACTTTTAATCTTTTTCCAGACATGCCAAACTAGGCCTTTAATTCTTCTCTCTATCTTGTTGCACGTCTTCGTAAAAAGTCAAAAAATTAATTAAAATAACCAATTTCAAAAAAAAATTCTAAAATGAATGGGAAAGTGAGAAAATAAAGGAAATGATTGTAATTTTTCCCTTAAGTAAGAGAAGAAAAAAATTATTATGATTTCTCACATTCTTGTTAGAATAAACATTAATTAAAGGGTCTTGTTGATAAGTGGCCTTGGGGCACAAATAAAAGACAAAAAATTTAAAAGACATAAGACACTTTTTACTAAATTTTAAACAATTTTATATATTTTCAAGAAATATTTTACACACTTTTCACCTTTAAACCATGCCCATGAAATACTGCGTTTGCCTGGATTAAAAGATGGTACATGTGTTTTTTTTGTTTTTTTTAATTTTATAATTAGAGAGCAATTTAGATATTACAAATTTTTTTGTAAAGAGTAATTTTGGTTTCTCAACAAATCTCACAATTTTGTATGATATTTTTTACTTGATTTCAATATAACAAAATAAATATTCATTTTAATATTAAAAAATAATAATTAAGTTGGAGAAAACAAGTCATTTAAAATTAAAGAATGATTGTACTTATTTATTTTAATAATCTTAACATTATGGTTCTATAAAAGTTTTATTTAAACAATATATATATATATATATATGTAATAATAATTTTACTTTAATTATTTATGTATATTTTAATAATCTTAGCTCTATCATGCTACAAAAGTGTAACTGAAATAAATATATAATGTTTTTATATGATAGTAAATTATAACATAATAAAATAAACACTCAATTTGACATTAATAATATAGTTAAATTTGAAAAAAAAATAGTAACACACAATTAAAAGTGATTCTAATTATGTAAAAAAAATTTATTCATTTGAAAATAAAAATAAATAGGAATGAAAGTTATAAAAAAAAATTATTTTAAAAAGTTAAATATAAGCATGTCATGTAAAAAATATATTACGAAATATGTAGCGTAATTTTTGTTTTGTATGTATAAATGATACTTTTGTATTTAATTTCAATATAATAAAATAAATATTCATTTTAATATTAAAAGAATGATTAAATTGGAGAAAAATGTCATTTAAAATTAAATAATGATTCTAATTATTTATTTTGATAATCTTAACATTTCGTTCTATAAAAGTGTTATTTAAACAAATATATATATAATAATTTTATTTCAATTATTTATGTGTATTTTAATAATCTTAACCCTATCGTGCTATAAAAGTATAACTGAAATAAATATAATGATTTTATATGATATTAAATTCTAACATAGTAAAATAAACACTCAATTTGACATTAATAATAATAGTTAAATTGGAAAGAAAAATAGTAACATACAATTAAAAGTAATTCTAATTATTTATTTTTTTATTCATTTGGAAATAAAAATAAATATGTATGGAAGTTATAAAAAAAATTATTTTAAAAAATTAAATATAAGTATGTTGTGGTTGGATTAAGAAAAAAATAAATAGATTAATTATGTTGATCATTGATTTTCTGTAATATCTATTTTAAAACTATTTATACATATTATATACTAGCGGATGGCACACGCAATGCATGTGTAATTAAAATAAGTAAGAATAAGATAAAATAATAATGAAACTAATATTATAACGTTCATTTAGCTTAATTGCTATGAGTCTTCTTACCTTAAACTCATGGTTCAAGCCTTGCCCACCTCGTTGTGTAACTTTTTTAAAAAAACAAAAAAATACATACACTTGACATGAGGAGAGTAAGGCTTCACTACACCAATTGAGGCCTTCACTTGATAAATAAGAATACCTAAGATTTTGAATTCAAACCTTACTTACACATTTGAATAATAATTTTTTATTTTAGGCTAGATAAAGTTATTGCGTGGCATGACGTGAAGCTTTGGACTTCACTTAATAATAATATAGATAGATACATAGATAATTATATATACGTATATATAGTTTAAATTAAATATAAATTTTTCCTAATAAACAATTTCATATTAAATAGGAAACTCAATATAAATTAATAATAATATATAAATAAGATAGACAAAAAAAGAAAAAAAATATATCAATAAAGACATAAGGCTAGTGCTCAAGTATCACGGCACAATAAGACGAACTCAATTAGGTTGGCACCAACTCATAAACCCCTCATTTTTTAACACACCGCTAAAGTTGGTGAAAAACCAACCAAAAAGCTAGAAACATAACCAAACACACTGCCAACAAACAAATAACCAACACAAACTGCCAAACTAAAAGGCTACAATAGCATTGCTGCACTCTAGCTGAAGCTTAAAACAAAGAAGGGCTGCTTCCCCAGCAAAAGCACCAAGCCTTACTGCTACCCCATCACATCTTTAGCCCCTCAAGCAGTACCTGACCTGGCTAAGGTTGGACACAAGATCATGAACTGAGTATTATATCCCTCCCACATTGCTCCTCACCCATAGGGCTACTCTAGTTTTAACAACTTCAAGCAAATCAACAATATGCACTTGCACTCTTTTAAACAGAATTTCATTTCTCATCTGCCAAACAGACCACATCAAAATCAGTGGTACAATCTTCCAGATTTTTAACGCCTTTTTCTTGAATTTAACCCCAGCCCACCATTGTAGCACCTCCTCCACTAATCCTGGAATAGCCCACCTGATATCCCACCATCTTAACACCCCAGACCAGAGTAACCACACCTTTGGGCAATGTAAAAGCACATGATTAACAGCCTCCATTTTTGCTTTACAGAACAAACATAGATTGCTGACATTCAATTCAATACCCCTATCCTCTGCAAGAAAACAGATGTCTTTACTCTTCCGCTCCATGCTAGCCAACATAAAAATTAGACACTGGGAGGGGCCACATTGTCCCACACACTTTTAGCAACACTTACCGAATTTAAGATGCTCTCCACTTTCAAATTGAAGCCACTGAAAATATACCAAAAGAATCTGCAAACCATTTCAAAGAATCCTCCACAGAAGTTCTGATTCTCGGGGCCTCCACCAAAATAGTTTGAAGCCTTCTAACCTCTTTCTCCTCCCACACAAACAGGGGCGACGCTAAATAGAAGTCCGTGACTTCAACTGAACCCTCTGGACTTTAAAAAAATGTCAAATTTATCATGTTTTAATAATTCAAAGTCAGTGATCGCTCTAACTGAACCCCTACTTTTTCCCCTTGAACCCTCTTCCTTCTGTATGGAGCTTTGGATATGATTACTCCACTGTGATAATAATACTAAAAATATATATAAGATAAAATTAAATAGAAATGGCAAAATAATTTTTTTTTATTAAAGAATAAAATATAGAATTGTGGGGATATATTTTTGAGCACCAACACGTGGTAAGTTGACGCCGATGTATCAGTCGAGGTGCCACGTGTCCTGATCGTAACGCCGA